GCCCTATAGCAAAAACCTCTCCAAAAAAAAGGAAAAGAAAAAGGAAAAAAAAGACCAGCAGATCTGAAGGGCTTACTCTGCGGTGTGTGGGCCAGTATTTTCTTAGATAAATATTCTTTTGTTGTTGTTGTTGTTAAAATGTATTTATTCATCCATTTATTTTAATTTGACCAGAGAGAGAGAGAGCGAAAATGAGAAAGCAAGCCACCAGGTCCCTGGTTGGCCATGTCCAGCGCCTTAACCACCACACCACCTGCTGGTCCCCTCTTTTTTTTTTTTTTTGCTAAATATTTTTGCCGGTTATTGAAAGTTGGTTTTCTGAAAGTTGTCAGTGTGGACTGAAAAATAAAAGCCGCAGTGCTCCAGTGGTAATTGAATGCTCTTTACTTTAGACTATGAAGCTCAGAGCTCGTGTCTAAAGGTAAAGCAGCCTCGGCTGATGGGGAGGCGCGGACTGGCATTGTGGCGCTGGACATCCAGGTGGCCATCGGGGAAGGGCCTCGAAATAGGAAATCATTCTTATTACTAACTTCTGCTGTAAAACGCTTCCTAAGATAAATGTGGCAGACTGCAGCAAAACACCGTGGAAATCGAACAGTCTGGGCGTCACGTTACTTATTACTAACTTCTGCTGTAAAACGCTTCCTAAGATAAATGTGGCAGACTGCAGCAAAACACCGTGGAAATCGAACAGTCTGGGCGTCACGTTAACATTAGGCCGTTGGAAAAGCCATGGTGCATTTTTCTGGTTTTCTACGCAAAAATGCATCGTGACTTTTCCCACAGCCCAGATCAGCTACATCGGTTGTATGGTCTGCGAATGTCACTGTCCCTCCCCCAGCTCTCGTCTTCACCTGTAAAGTCCCACATCCTCAGGAGACAGACTTGTGACCACACGTGTGATGTGCCTTTTCACCATTATTCTCACCCTCGCTTACTAGGGATTCCAGTGGCTGAGGTCTGCCCCCCAGCGCAGAGCCCTGGAGCACTGACTCCTGCAGTCCCAGATCCCCAGGGACCCCTGCTCGTGCCTGGGGCTCAGGCAGCCCCTGTTGGGGCCAGGAGTTCCTGGGGAGCTCCCAGCAAGTATCCCTGCAATAACAACCCCCTGCAAGGCCTCGTTCTGTCCCAGATCTGAGGAGGCTTAGGGCTGGGTGGCTGTGACGGTGTTCTAGGCTGTTCTGTCTAATAACAGAAAGTGCCTGAAACAGAGGTTTATCCAACGCACAGTCAGAAGGTCCAAGGTCCGGGTCTGTCTCTGGTGGGCGTCCTGCGGAGTCCCAATCCCATCGTGAGGGCGAGAGCAGAGACGAGTGTGTGTCTCTCAGTTTCTGTCTCTTCTTCTCTCTCCTTCGAAACCCAGCAGGAGTCAATGGGGCGGTGGGGGGAGCACGGTGTGTAAGCCAAGGCGAAAGTGGCTGTGGACGAGAACAAAGCCAAAGAGTTCCTGAGCAGCCTGAGGCGGCCGAAGCGGCGGCTGTGGGACCGCTCACGGCCGGAGGTGCAACAGTGGTACCAGCAGTTCCTGTACATGGGCTTCGACGAGGCGGTGCGTGGGGGCCTGGCCCGGGGTGGGGCCGGAACACAAGGCTTTGCTGCAGCTCCCCGAGTAGGAGCCCCACTCTAGGCCAGGTGCCATCCGAGCACCAGATCCCATGACAGCCGGGCAGGGACGGGGGCGGGATTTTCCACCAGGACTTCCTTGGTAGGGAATCCAGAGAGGTCGGGAGCCAGAGCGGCTGGGATCTAGATTTACAGGCTGATTTTCCTAGGGGCCCTCTGTTTCAGTTCTGCCAGAACCTTCTTAAAATAACTCACAATTCCTCCCAAACATTTTCAGTTTTACCTGGGGGAAAACACACACACACACAAAACAAACCAGAAACAACCAGATTGTTGTGAGAACCCATGAGGATAATGGAGATGAAAAGTGACTTCTAAGCAGAGCTGAGTCTTTGCAGATGTTCTGGGAAAGATGGGTCCGTGCACTTCACGGTAAAGAGGGCTGGCGGTCCTCGTGCCTGGGTGGCATTACTGGCCCAGGTAAGGGAAGGTAGCTGCAGGGGTTAAGCCATAGACCCTGCTTTACAGAGTGATGGACAGGGCTGAGCTCCTGCTGTGACCGTCAGAGGGACACGCTTACCCTGCCCCCACCCCAGCCAGGGAGCAGATGGGTTTTCAGGGCGACCTCTCCAGCTGGGGCGGCAGAGGTGTTTTGAAAGCAGGCACGTGATTGCTCTAGAGCCACGGTCCACAACGTTTTTGGCAGTAGGGACCAGTTTCATGGAAGAGAATTCTTCCATGGGCCAAGGGCGGGGCGGGGGGTGGTGGTTCTGGGAGGGTTCAAGTGCATTGCACGAGTCCCGCACTGTATTTCTATTACTGATGCATTGTAATACGGTGAAGTCATTATACGACTCACCATAGCGCACAATCAGCGGGAGCCCTGGGCTCGTGTTCCTGCAAACTTTCCAACTGCATTCAAAGCCAAACTGGAATTATAGGGGCCACGAGTGAACACTGGGGTTTTTGACACGCTTCAGTGGGGGAATCTGACACCCGCGCTGATCTGACAGGAGGCGGAGCTCAGGTGGTGATGTCAGCGAGGGGGAGTGGCTGCAGATCCAGACGCAGCTTCATTGGCTATCCCACCACGCACCTGCCTCATAGCCTGGTTCCTCCCAGGAAGCGAATAGCAGTCTGTGGCCGGGGTTGGGAGCTCTCTGCCCTGGAGGGTGTTTACAAAATACTGTTATGGGTGAAAAAATGTTAAACTCTTAGACACGTTGTTTCTATTGGCTGCATAAAATGGAATCATAACTTCCCTCCCGCTTCTAGCCACTGGGCATAGCGGCTGTCCTAAGTGCTTTTTGCTACCTGTTTATGTATAAGTGTGAGTGTGTGTGTGTGTATGTGTGTGTATTTTTGTCTATACAAATAGCTAAAAACTTAAGCCAAACTCTGGGCCAGGCACGTTCTTCTTCCTGGGAACTTACTCAGCATTCGCAATTCCCGAGGCAGGTGGCTTGCTTCTGTGTACTTAGTCCTTTACGTGGGGCCACATTCCGCTCCGTGGAGTCGCGGGGGCAAAAATGGAATCCTGTGCTAGGGTCTTTAGGAACGTCAAACTGCCGCTCCCCCCTGTCACATGCGAGAGTACCGGTTTTCTAGAACCTTCAGCAACGATTCATGTTCACATTAAAAGTTAAATATATATATTTATTTACTTATTTGAGAGGAAAATGCTACATCACCGGTTAGTAACTTGGATTCCGTTAATGGCCATCATTAAAATGGGCCTTAAGGATTTAACATAGGAAAATGGGGAGGGGCCAGCAGATTGCATGGTAGTTAAGGGAACTGGACTACCACGTGGCCAACTGCTGTTCAAGCCCTGGACCTGGTGACTTGCTTTCTCACTTTCCCTCTCTCTCTCTTCCTCACTCTGCCCTCTCTGGTCAAATTAAAAATCAATCAAGCAATCAATCAATAAGCTAGTAAAGTTAAATAATTCTTTTTTTAAAAAGGAACATGGCTAAAATAGTATCTAGTGACAAAACTAGAGTAACGATCAGAGAAGATTCTAGTAAAGTAGTCCAGCTGGGGTGGTGCGGCAGTAATGTAATGCTCTGCAGTGCCGAGGCCGTATGTGGAGGTTGTGGGTTCGAGGCCTGAGGCCTCCCAATGTGAGCTCAGTGCACGTGCATGCCTGTGGTTCTGGCTGGAGGTAGATCGCGGCACGGGTAACCCCCACCACCGCCTTCTTCAGGGAAGACACAAATAAATAAACCCTGGAAAATGATGGTAATAACTGGATATTCATAAAAAGGACTACAAAGAAACACAAAGCCACTAATGGTGGTCTTTGGCAATAGAATTATACGACCCTCTTTTTCTGTGTCCCTTTCATGTACAGGTTTTAAAAATATGACTCTGCATTTTTTCTCTATCCATAAACATTTTTTTAAATTATTGAAGGTAGAGGCTGGCATGTGGCATCGTGGTTAAGGTGCTGGACTCTCATAGGGCCGACTACAGTTTGAGTCCTGGACCTGGTGGCTTGCTTTCTTGCTTTCCCTTTCTCTCTTTCTATCTCTCTCCCTGGCCAAATTAAAACATAATAATAACAAATGTAAATAAATAATTCTTTAAAAATTTATCTAAAGTATATATTTTAACCCAAAATCTCAAACAAGCTTATACCGTGGCAAAAGCCAAGGAACGAGATTAATTCACAATGGCAAAAAATGTAGCATTATGCAGAAGGCCAGCTGGAGATGGAGGCAGAGAATCCACGTCTTTCTCAAGACAGAGGCTGAGGGAGGGGCCCAAGATGACCAAGACCGCGGCCCGGCAATGGAGGCGAGGAGCTCAGGTCACACCCTGCCACATGGCACAAGCTGGCCCACCACTCAGCCAGAGAAGTGGCCACTGAGCACCTTTACGTGGGGCCACATTCCGCTCCGTGGAGTCGCGGGGGCAAAAATGGAATCCTGTGCTAGGGTCTTTAGGAACGTCAAACTGCCGCTCCCCCCTGTCACATGCGAGAGTACCGGTTTTCTAGAACCTTCAGCAACGATTCATGTTCACATTAAAAGTTAAATATATATATTTATTTACTTATTTGAGAGGAAAATGCTACATCACCGGTTAGTAACTTGGATTCCGTTAATGGCCATCATTAAAATGGGCCTTAAGGATTTAACATAGGAAAATGGGGAGGGGCCAGCAGATTGCATGGTAGTTAAGGGAACTGGACTACCACGTGGCCAACTGCTGTTCAAGCCCTGGACCTGGTGACTTGCTTTCTCACTTTCCCTCTCTCTCTCTTCCTCACTCTGCCCTCTCTGGTCAAATTAAAAATCAATCAAGCAATCAATCAATAAGCTAGTAAAGTTAAATAATTCTTTTTTTAAAAAGGAACATGGCTAAAATAGTATCTAGTGACAAAACTAGAGTAACGATCAGAGAAGATTCTAGTAAAGTAGTCCAGCTGGGGTGGTGCGGCAGTAATGTAATGCTCTGCAGTGCCGAGGCCGTATGTGGAGGTTGTGGGTTCGAGGCCTGAGGCCTCCCAATGTGAGCTCAGTGCACGTGCATGCCTGTGGTTCTGGCTGGAGGTAGATCGCGGCACGGGTAACCCCCACCACCGCCTTCTTCAGGGAAGACACAAATAAATAAACCCTGGAAAATGATGGTAATAACTGGATATTCATAAAAAGGACTACAAAGAAACACAAAGCCACTAATGGTGGTCTTTGGCAATAGAATTATACGACCCTCTTTTTCTGTGTCCCTTTCATGTACAGGTTTTAAAAATATGACTCTGCATTTTTTCTCTATCCATAAACATTTTTTTAAATTATTGAAGGTAGAGGCTGGCATGTGGCATCGTGGTTAAGGTGCTGGACTCTCATAGGGCCGACTACAGTTTGAGTCCTGGACCTGGTGGCTTGCTTTCTTGCTTTCCCTTTCTCTCTTTCTATCTCTCTCCCTGGCCAAATTAAAACATAATAATAACAAATGTAAATAAATAATTCTTTAAAAATTTATCTAAAGTATATATTTTAACCCAAAATCTCAAACAAGCTTATACCGTGGCAAAAGCCAAGGAACGAGATTAATTCACAATGGCAAAAAATGTAGCATTATGCAGAAGGCCAGCTGGAGATGGAGGCAGAGAATCCACGTCTTTCTCAAGACAGAGGCTGAGGGAGGGGCCCAAGATGACCAAGACCGCGGCCCGGCAATGGAGGCGAGGAGCTCAGGTCACACCCTGCCACATGGCACAAGCTGGCCCACCACTCAGCCAGAGAAGTGGCCACTGAGCCCCTGGGACCACGCCATGTTCTCAAACATTAACCTGTGTTCGTTTAAAGACATAGGTTACAAAGACCCTCACACCAGGAAATTGGAGTCAGGAGGCATGGCGTGGTGCCCGAATGCATTTCCAGCGTCCCTGGGGTTGGGGCGCAGGATGCACTGGCCTCACCTCTGGAGAAGCAGGCCCTGCAGCCTCCAGCCTGGCCTGCCCCGCCTCCCCAGGCTGCCTCTGTGGGCCCGGCCCCTGCGCCCTCACACTGCCTCTCTTGTGGCCTCCTGAGCATTGACGTGCAAGTTCCAACCTAAATTCATCTAGCACCTTCACCACCAGCCCAAACGAGAGCCTGTCATCTAAGAAGCAGGTTAGCAGTGAGGACCAGGGCCCAGGCCGACACCTGAACGGGGCTGCACTCCCCTCCTCATTGCTAGTCCTGTTCCTCCCGCCTCCTCATCGATCAGCGGCCTCAGTGTCATCCTCAGGAACTGCAGGCCTCTGGGAGGCAAGGATGTGCTGCCTCAGAGGCTTCCAGTCCCAGCAAGGGGCGGCCACCTGCTGCTCATTTCATAGTGTCTCGGGCCAGGCCGTGTTGCCACAGTCACATGACTGCACCCACGGGGAAGGTCCCGGCTTTCACAGCCTGGGGTCGCCCTCTGCACGCTGTTCGTGCTTGTGCGTACCTCTGACCCGGTTAGCAGAGGCTGGGGGTCGGTCTCCGTGTGAAGACCCTGTGGGGGCTGCCAGTCTCTCTGTTTCGCGGAAGAAATGAATGTAGTGTTTGGAGGCCAGGAGGTGGCGTGGTGATTAAGGCACTGGACTCCCACATGGCCGACTGTGGTTCAAGTCCTGGACCTGGCAGCTTGTTTTCTCACTTTTCCATTTTCTCTCTCTGCCTCGCTCTAGTGAGCACACATGTCCTATAGCAAATTAAAAATAATAACAAAATATAAAATTAAGTAAATACATCTTTAAAAAAACAGTGTCTGTGGAACGAGTAAGTGCAGCCGTGCAGGCTCCGGCCTCCAGCACAGGCATGAGCCTTGCCCGCAGAAGGGCTCAGAGAGCCTGGCCTGGCGGTGCTGATCCACCATGGCATTTATGCAGCAGCTACTACACCTGGTACAGTGGCCCAGGCCCTGCCGTGGGATGTGCGGACGAGAGCCACCCCCGGTGAGCTGTGTGTGGTGCGTGAGGGCCAGCCCAGGGTGATACTGTATTTACCACATATCCTTTTTTATTTAAAGAGACATTTTTGCTATAGGGTGTGTGCACTTACCAGAGAGACAGAAAGCAAGAAATCACCCCCTGGGGGGATGGCTACAATCCCTTGCCCTCCATTCTCCTCTAGGGATCTTGGGCACACATGCACACATACCCAGCATGAGTTTTAAGCTACCGGGTCCAGGACTTGAACCACAGTTGACTACATGGGAGCCCAGTGTTGTAATCATTATGCTATCCCAAGATGTCCCTCTGTTTTATAGCAAGGAGGACAATGTTTAAGCCCAGGGCACACTGAGAACTAGCATGGCAGGTGTTTTCGAAGGGATGCCAGGTGATCCTTCGGGAGGAGCCAGCTCCATCAGCATCCTCTGGTCGGCTGACCTCTGGCAAAGGGAACATGCAGAGTCGCCACAGGGAAAGGGCCCCGGGGGGTGCCTGAGGGGCGGCGTGTCCATAAATCGACTCTATCATCTTCCTCTTCTCCAGAAATTCGAAGATGACATCACCTACTGGCAAAACAGAGACCGAAACGGACACGACTACTACGGCGACTACTACCAGCGGCACTACGACGAAGACGCGGCCATTGGCCCGCGGAGCCCCCACAGCTTCAGGCACGGCGCCAGCGTCAACTACGACGACTACTGAGCCCGCCTCGGCGCCAGCCCCAGGAGCCAGCCCCGCCTAGGTGTGCCCGCGCCCCGGGCTCCGGTTTGCTTCATTCCAGCAGATCCCCACCCACTCTGTGACGAGAAAGGAAGGGTTGTTACCAAGGGTTCTGCCTTTTGATATTTCATGTAAGCACCCAATAGTGCCTCTCACTTAAAAGTAGAAATAAAAGCATTTTATTAAAAAGAGAAGTCTCAGAATTCACGGGGGTGCAAATGAAGCTGGCGACGTCTCTCACTGAGCTGCAGCAGCACCTGACAGTCCTCCCGTCCTCACCCCAGCACCCCACCACCCGGGAGGCCCCCAGACCAATCCAGAGGCCTTCCGCCTGTTAACACTGAACGTGGGGTAGGAACCGGCGGCAACCTCCAGTTAAATGACCTACAGTTACAGAACATGGTTTGGAGGGTTCTAATCACCACAGGACTTCTGGGTTCCAGGCCCTGCGCTACGGCTAAACCTGTTTAATCTTATTATCCAGGAAACAGAGTGGATAAAAACAGTAACAACCCTTCGTGGCCAGCAGGTGGCACGGTGGTTGAGGTGCTGGATTCCCACATGGTCAACTGTGGTTCGCGTCCTGGAACCGGTGACTTGAAAATCACACTGAGTGCATGTGCATGCACACCCCAAATCCCAAGGAGAATGGAGGATAAGAGATTGTGTCATGGCCATCCTCCCAAAGGGGTGATTTCTACTTTCCCTCCTCTTTGCATCTCTCTGTGAGCCCAGGCATTCGATGGCAAAAACACTAAAAACCAGTAACACCCCTGAATTTGGTTGATTTCAGAGCTGCAGTTATCGAAAGTTTAAAAATACAGTCCTGTTCAATGAATTTAAAAAAGACTTGAGATGATATTTCACTTTGTGAAGGAAAGGAGGAGAAAAGTGGGTGGGGAGAGGGAGACGAGGGGCAGGAAGGCGCTGAGAGCCATGGTGGGAGCAAGTCCAGTCCCCATCCTCTGTCCACTCACGACACCTGGGCTGCTCCTGCCTTCGGGCTACTGTGAGTCCCGCTGCTGCAGTGCGGTGTGCAGACATCCGTCCACGGGTCTCCAACAGTGCTCTGTCTGTGGGACCCCGCCAAACTGCAGAGGCTGGTGGGAAATGAGACGAACAGCCTGGGGGGGGAGACTCAGCTACTTCGGGGGTCACAGATGCCTCTGACAGTCTAAAAGACTGGCTCTTTTCCTCAGGAAAACAGGCACTTTCTGTAGACAGCCTCTGAGACATTCGCGCATTCCCAAGCCGTAGGTGACAAGCATCCCCGGGCTTACAGGACACACTGGTCTCAGATCAGCCACATTTACAGACGATCGTAAGTAAAGGCCATTCTGTTTCTTCCTTGGGAACTCTTATAACTTTCTTTTTCATTTTTTTTTTTTAAGAGGTTTTTGCTATAGAGCAGATGCACCGCCAGAAAGACAGACAGAGACAGAAAGAGAGAAATCACCCCCCAGGGGGGATGGCCACACCACAATCCCTTGCCCTCCACTATCCTCTCGGGATCTTGGGCATGCACGCACACGTGCCCGGCATGAGTTTAAGCCACCGGGTCTGAGACTCCAACCGCAGTCAACTACATGGGAACCCAGTGACATAGCCATTACGCCAACTGCTTTCCCTTACTTTCTAAGAACATTCTAGTAAAATACACACAACAGAAAACTTACCATTGTACCCTTTTTCAGGGGCACACTTCATTCACGTTTTTGCACACCACCACCACCGTCTCAAGAGCTCCCTCATTGCAAACAGAACCCCTGTCCCCACTAAACTCTAACTCCCCAGTCCCACGTCCCCGGCCCTGGCAAGCACGGACCACCCTCTGTCGCTGAGTTGGGCTCCTGGGGAGCGTACAGAAGCGGAGCCATCCGCTTTGTCCTCCCGTGTCTGACTTCCTTCACGGAGCGCAATGCCCTGGGCTCCAGCGTGCTGTGGCACGCATCAGAAGCCCTTTCTTTCTGCAGCAGAGTAACATTCCACTGTACATTCGACCCCATTCTGCTCGTCCACTCATTTGTCGATGGGCCGACACTGGGTGGCTTCCACCTTTTGACTGCTGGGACTAAGGGGGCTGTGAACTCGGGTTTGCAAACATTCTGTCCTTGCTTGCATATGGCAATTCTATGCTTAATTTCTGTATTTGTTTTCTTTTCTTCTCTCCCTCTCTCTCTCTTTTTTTAAGGTTTTCGCTATAGGGCCCATGAGAAGAGAGACAGAGAGGGAAAGTGAGACCCCCAGGGGCATGGCCACACCACAACCCCGTCTCCATTTTCCCGTCCCCATTTTTGGCCATGCACGCATTTGCACCAAGCCCCCAGGTCTGGGACTCAAACCACCATCAGCCCTGTGGGAATACAGCTGCCTTAACCACCACGCCATCTGCTGGCCCTATGTTTAATTTCTTTAGGAACTCCCATACAGGAGCAGCACTGTTGTACATATCCACCCTGCCAGCTTTTGCTTCTTTTTCCTGACTCCACTCCAGGGGAATGTTGAGGAGGGAAGGAGAGAGAGGTGAGGAAGATGGCTTTGATTCATCCCTAATCTTAAAGGAAAAGCAGTTTTTGTGTTTCCATTCATGGGTTTTGCTGGATTTTCTTTGTAGGTGTCCTTTTTCCCAGATAAGAGCATTTCCTTCTGGGCCAGCCGTGAAGGCACAGCAGCAACGCAATGTTCTATGACCCTCAGACGGTGTGGGAGGTCACAGATTTTCATCCTGGGGCTTTCCTGCAGGTGGAGGTGATTCACCCCACTGGGGGTGAATCACAGGGTCCCTATTTGGGGTGCCTGTCTCTCTCTCTTTCCTTTTTTCATACATAAACTTACAAAAATAGAATTTCTTTTTTAAAATGTTCTAAGAAACCTTTAAATTTTTAATGTTGTCTGTGGATGTTCCTTTAGTGAGATAATACAAGTTTTGCTTTTAAACCCGTTCATTAATATGGTGACATCTGTGAATAAAATTTCTCATATTAAGTTGTAAGAATTAACCTAACTTGATAATGTTTTATCTTTTTAAAAATTAACTGTTGGGCATTGTATCCGCCTAATGTTTGTTCAGAACTTTTGCGTTCACTTTCAGGAGTAAGACTGGAATCTTCTTTCTTGTTCTCTTTGGGTCAGTTTGGGTTTCAGAGTCCTGCTGGACTCAGAATATGAGTTGTGCATGTCTGTTTTTTTGTGTAAGGATGGTGAGAATAAAATTATCCTGAGTATTTGGTAGCATTCAGATAAAGCCACTCGGATGTAGTGTTTACTTTATGGGGAAAATGTTGACAATGGAATATATATATATATTTACAGTTAAAGGATTTTTCTGATTCTGTGCTTCTCTGAGTCCGTTTTGCTAAGTTCTTCCTAGGAAGCCATCCGTTATATCAAAGTGCTGAAGAGTGCTGACAACTGTTCTTAATATCTTTTCTATTTTTTTCTGTAGCATCTGTGATTATGTTCCTTTTTCTATTCTAGTTAATTTGTACCTTTTTTTTTTTTTGAGAGGTTTTTGCTATAGGGTGCGTGTGCTCGCCAGACAGACAGAGAGAGACAGAAAGCGAGAAATCACCCCCCAGGGGGGATGACCACGCCACAATCCCTTCTCCTCCATTCTCCTCTTGGGATCCTGGGCATGTACGCACATGCGCCCGGCATGAGTTTTAAGCCACCCGGTCCGGGACGCAAACTGCGATCGACTATGTGGGAGTCCAGTGACATAACCACAACTGCTGGTCCCTGTGCCTTTTAAGATGGAGGAGAAGGGATTGCGGCGTGGCCATCCCCACTGGGGGGTGATTTCTTGCTTTCTGTCTCTCTGTCTCTCTCTGGCGAGTGCACACACCCTATAGCAAAAACCTCTAAAAAAAAAAAAAAATGAATCCTGGGGCCAGCAGGTGGCATAATGGTTAGGGTATTAGACTCAAACATGGCTGACCAGGGTTCATGTGTCGGGCCTGGAAGCTTCAAAATTATGGCAAGTATATGTGTGAGTGTGCCCAAAATCCCCAAAGGAAAAGGGAAAAGAAGAGGCTGTGCTGTGGCCCTCTCCCCAAGGGATTCTCACATTCCCTCTTTCTGAATCTCTCTCTCTCCTTTCCAGCGAACATATGTGCCCTGTGACAAAAGAGAAAACAAAATAAAACAAAACAACAAAACCAACCTCATAAACAAACAAACAAACAATGAATTCTATTGGGGACAGCATGGTAGTTAAAGGACTGGACCCCCACAGTTTGAATCCTGGACCCAGCAGCTTGAAAATCCTGCCAGGCATGTATGCTTGTGTCCCCCAAGTCCAGAGAACAGAGGAGCAGGTGCTGTGGCTATTCCCTGGGGGATGATTTCTCACTTTCCCTCTGTCTCTCTCCATCTTTCCTCAGTGAGCATGTGTGCCCTATGGCAGAAACCTAAAAAAAAAAAAGTGTGTGTGTGTGTGTGTGTGTGTATGAATCTGATCTCTTCACATATGCAACCCTTGCTTTGTTGATCTCTTCTTTGATATGAATTTCTGTTCTTTTAATTTCCTTCCTTCTGTGAGTTTTTTATTTTTATTTTATTTAATTTTTTTTGGAGAGATTTTTGCTATAAGGGCGCGTGCGCTCGCCAGACAGACAGAGAGAGACAGAGACAGAAAGCGAGAAATCACCCCCCAGGGGGGATGGTCACGCCGCAATCCCTTCTCCTCCATTCTCTTCTCGGGATCTTGGGCACGCACGCACACGCGCCCGGCGTGAGTTTTAAGCCACCGGGTCCAGGACGTGAACCGCGGTCGACTACGTGAGAATCCAGCGACATAGCCATTACGCTAACTGCTGGTTCCCTGTGAGTTTTTTATTTATATTAGATCTTAACTCCAGTTTGAGCTGTCTTGAATTTTTTTCAAAGCAAGCACTTAATGTTCTAAGTTTCCTTCCAAGTTTTGTGTCTCATGCGTTTCTTTTGAAAAGTTAGATGGTGAAATCTCTTTTCAGTAATGATTTCTCCTTTGATCCAAGAGTTGATTATAAGCATGACTAAATTTCAAGTAAATGGATTTTTCTAATTGTATTACTGGCTTTGTTTTCTAACTTGATTGTATTGAGGTAGGAAAAGTGGTCTGGCAGATTCTCATCTTCCAATGTATATGGCAGCCAGTTTTATGTTTGGGGCTGTCAAGCCAGCAATTATTCCACATGTGCTAGAAAAGA